GCGCCCCGGCCGTCCTGCCCGGCCATGGCTGCCGGGGGTGACGTGTTGCTGTGGCGACCGTGGGGACCAGGACGCGTTGCCACGGGGATGGTGGGGACAACACGGCCAGCGCCCTGTGTGTGGGGAGGGAGCGGGACTGCAGGGACCTCCCAGCTGCCGGGATGGCGCCCACCCTCTCCCCCCGCATCCCGTTCCCACCCTCTCCCCCTCATCCTATTCCCTCCTGTCCCGTCCCCCATGTCCCGACGCGCCCTGTGGCGTGTGCGGACACCGCCCGCTCCTCGCCCTGCCCACATATTTCCCTGGAACCGGAGCGCACCGGGGTGCTGCCGGTCCCCCGCCATGGTGTCGCGCTGGCACAGCTATCTCAGCGTGTCCCTGTCACGCGAAGGGCCGCGGCTGGAGCGCTTTCAGCAGGCCGAGAACATCCTGCTGACCCTGCTGGAGCGTGTCCACCGGAGCGACCCCCGCTTCCTCGTGGATTACTGCCGCGACCTGGAAGCCTTGGAGTTTGCCCTGTGCGACGACGAGGATGCCATCACCCTGGAGGTGCCCCTGCGGGTTGACGGCAACACCCTGCGGGTGCGACTGTGCCAGCCCGGAGACGGCGCCTGTTACCTGGAAGTGCCATCCCAGGAGGCCAGCTGGAAGGACTGGACCAGTGCTGGTGCTGGGGGTACTGGGTGCCTGGTACCGGGCAAAGTTCTCCGGTGCTTGAAAGAGCTCCTTGTTTCGGCTATCGTGCACTGCCAGCGCCACTTCCTCCTCCAGCCGGGTGCGTAAGTGAGCGTGGGCTTCCCGGGACTCCGGCCGGGATGGAGGGATGGAGGACGGGTGTGTTGTCCCAGGTGGGAGATGGTTCCGGGTGCAGGAGGGGGCGAGTTGGGAGGGTGCCAGAGCTGATCCCGCATGCGAGTGGGTCCCAGCTGGGAGCACTGTCTCTGGGAAGGACGTGGTGGGCAAGGGCTCTCCTGGGAATGCCCATGGGCATCCCAGTGGCATCTCTGCACCTCTCTAAATGCTCCTTTTCAAGTGTGTCTCGTCTCTGATGGAGATGAGGTGATGTTAGAGGGTCTCCAGCATCTCCTCTGATGTGGCTGAACTGTCCCATGCCCAGGCGACCTCAACGCTGAGGAATTAAAGGAAGATGTCATGGAGCTGACCCTGCTGGTCCGCGGCGGCTGGAAACCCCTCCGCTTCAACCTCGTCCCCGTGGTGAAGAGGCAGCAGGAGCCGCTGGAGCTCGGCCGGCGGCGCAGTGCCGAGGGCTTCCCTCAAGGCCAAGGCAGCCTCCGGAAGGCCACACGTGAGGCCCACCTCGTCCCTGCCTCTCCCTACTGCTGGAGGTGAGGGGCACGCGGCGGTCGCGGCACCTGGCCATGCCTCCCGCATCAGTGCTCACGTGCCACTCCAAGGAAGCCCTCCATGATCCTGGGAGGCGATTTGGAGGTGCTTGGCTCACACGCCGAGCCCTGTCTGGCCACACTGGGCACACAGATGGCCAGGGAGGCCCCCAAATCACTCCCAGGAGCTGAGCCTCAGCGGGAGCGGAGCCGAGGGCGGCAGCCCTGGTGTCAGGGCTTTGCGAGCAAGTCTGGGCACCTCCCAGCAGCAGCTAAAGAGGTGCCTCCCCGCGTGGGCCACGGGAGGGAACAGGGCTGGGGCGACACACACCTACCCGCGAGGCTACGGCCCAGTGAGGGGCTGAGCAGGCCCCAGCCCCAGCTATTTTGGGTGCCCTCCCTGACCGCGCACTCTCCGCAGATCCTCCACGCACCTCCCCGTCCTGAAGCTGCTGCGGGCAGTGGGCACTCTGAAGGGTGACCGTCTTGACAGCCTCCGCCTGCTCGAGCAGGTACACCGTGAGGAGTGGAGGCAGGAGGCCCAGAAAGGCGGCCTCACCTTCGACCACCTCAAGGTAGGTCCCTCCTGCATCCTGACACGCCGGGAGGTGCATGCTCAGGGCTGAGGGTGGCATCTCCTCCTGGGACCAAACCCTCCATCCTCGCTGAACCTGTTTGCAGCATTCCGGGCTGCTGCCAGGTCGGGAAGGGCTGTGTTCGGGCTGGCACCTGGTGTCACAACCCAGGTGTGCTCTCCCTACCCTCAGATGGTCTTTCTGTGGAGCACGGAGCTGTTTCCCTCACCAGAGGACTGGCAGGACCTGGAGGGCTCTGTCTACCGGCTTTTGGTGGTCCTTCTGTGCTGCTTGGCCAGTGGGCGCTTGCCGCACTTCCTGCATCCCAAGGAGAACCTGCTCCGAGGGGACACGTCGGAGCTCGGCTCGCTCTACTGCAAGGTGGAGAGTTTCGCCCGGGACCCGCATCGCTTCCTGCGCCTCCACTTGGGCCCCCCCGTGCACGCCGATAACCTGCGCGCCGATCCCGGCCTCAGAGCTCTCCTGCAGCTCCCGGCCAAGGACGAGACCTACTGGGACACAGCCTATTTCGACCTCCTGCTCAGCCAGGTACCGGGGGACACCAGCACCTTGGCTTGGCTGCTCTCGCCAACATGCTGCGGTGCCAGCAAGCCGCTTGGCTGGGCTCTTTGGGTGTGCTGAGCTTTGCTTCTCCAGGCTCCCCTGTCCCCAGCCATCGCTAGCGCGGGCTCAAGCAGAGCAAGAGCACCTCTCCCCTCACTCCCTGCACATGTCTGCACAGTTCCAGGTGTATCGGATCCAGGACCACGCGCGCCGCTCCGCCATGTCCCAGCTCCTGTCCAAGGCCCTCAGAGAAGTGCTGGTTCTGAGCCCTCTGCCCGAGCATCTGAGCAGCACCCTGTTTGCCATCCCCACCACATAGACATTCTGCCAGCAACTGAGCTCCCACAGGGAGAAGGGATGCAACGGGACTGCTGACCCGTACACCTTGTCGCCAGAAGAAGCAAGATCATGGGCAAGAGACTTTTTTCTCCTCCAACAACCGGAGAGCCCGACCCAGCTCTCCTGTGCTGGACAAGGATGTGCCCTTGTGGCGCTTCCTTGGATTGCAACTATGGTCTCGAAGCTCTCGGAGAGCTCGTCAGCTACATGCATGGGGGAGCGGCACGGTGCTTTGGCCACTTTATTCAGGAAAAATGGTACCAGGGAACGAGCGGGTGTTGGTGGCAGCTGGGTGTGGGTGCACGTGGGCTGTCAACTCTCTGCGTCACAGCTGGGCTCCAGAACGGGTGTTTCACATCACCGGTTACCTGCAGTTGAGGATACGGCAGTTCGGCACTGCCGGCCTTCAGGAAAGGAGAGGCCAAGGGTGATGGGGAGGGAGGAGCGAGGAGGGGACCTGGGGTTGATCCTGCCTCTGACCTGAGGGTCGGCCTGCCCTGGGGGCAAGGCAGGAGAAGGAGGTGAGGGGGCCAGGGCAACCAGGCAGGAGGGACAGGGAGGAGAGTACATGATCCCATCCCACTCGCCCGCACAGCAGCCTGCCGACATGCTGCCCTATGGCTCCCGCACGCCCTGGCCTCCCCTGGCAGATCCTGCCCTTGCCACCAGCTTCTCCTTCTGCACGACCTTGGCTGGAGCCCGTACGCGGCCGCAGCACGAGGCGCTCACAGCTGGCTCCGGCGACAGTGCTGCAGGGCGTCTCCCAGGGCCCGCAGCACCCGCTCCACGTTGGCTGGCGTCGAGTTGTAGCCCATGAGGCCGATGCGAAGAACCTGCAAGGAGAGCAGGCAGGTTCCGCGCTGCCGCACAGCCCTGCAGGGCCGTCTCCCTGCGCGGGTGCATGCGTGCTCAATGCGCCTTTGCTGTCTTTCTAACTGAATGTGCCTTTCCCCCCCCGTTCCGTGTGCAGTCATTCCATCCCAGCCGTTGCGCAGGGTTGGGAAGTGGGATGCGTTGCTGAAGGCCCGTGGGTGGCACCGTGCGTTAGGTGCACGTGGCCGGCATCCAAGGACCATCAGTTCATCGCAGCGCTTGCTACCGATGGAGGCAACTTCGATCCGGCAGGGCAGCATCCGGGAGCGGATGCTGGGTCTGCCAGGGAGTGCAGGGTGACCATAGAGCAGTGTGGTGGGAGAGGAACCCCCTTCCCACCATTCCCACCCTTCCCACCTTGCCAACTGTGGGGCCCAGGCCCCCGACGATCTCGATGCCGTGCTTGTCCAAGACATAGTTTGTGAGCTGCTTCCAGTCATAGCCCTCGGGCACCTTGACGGTGGTGACAGTGGGAAGCCTGGCCTTCTGGAGGAGAGAGGAATGGGGTCACTGCTGCGGCCACTTGTTCTCCCCCCTCAAGCTCTGCAGCCCTGGGGGAGAAAGCATCTCGGGGTGGGGGAAATCTGGAATCTTCTTCTCCGTCCAGAAGAGTTTGCCCCAAAATGCACCCAGACCCAGTCTCTGGGAGAGGAAGGTCGCTGTGTCCCCATGTCACTTGGACTCGGTGGGACCCAGTCCCAGACCTACCTCTTCCTTCACGAAGAGCTCGAGCCCCAGATCCTGCAGCCCCTGGCACAGGGAGATGCAGTTGGCCCGGTGCCGGACCCACGACTTTTCCAGGCCCTGTGCAAGGGGGTGGCCATAAAAGAGAGGTCACCGGTTCTGCCCAAGACCTCCTGGCATTCCTTCCGTGGCACGGCCAGCTCTGCCATCCCACAGGGCTCTGCTCACCAGCTCAGCCAGCATCGCCAGGCCCTCCCGCAGGCAGTAGAGGCTTTGGATGGGTGCCGTGTGGTGGTACCTGCAAAACCCAAGCGGTGCCTTGGTGGCCTCATCCCTGGGCTGGGAGAAAAGGGCTTTTTTCTGGGGATGGGGATGCAAGCTGGGAGCTGTGGGCAAAGGGAAGCACCGCGCGGCGCGCTGGGGTGCCTGGGGTCGTCTGTGCCCCTCACGTTCGTGACGGGCCATCGCAGCCCCAGTAGCTTCCCAGGCAGAGCACGTCCAGGTAGTAGGAGGGTGGCTTTGTCTTCCTCCTCAGTATCTTCTCCCTGGGGGAGCAGAGCACGGGTCCTGAGCTGCACCCCTCAGCAAGGACCAGCCCATCTCTGAATGGAAGCAAGGAGGAGATGGGGGGCACGGAGCGGGGATTACGAGCTGCCCCATGGACGAGGGGCCAGGGTGTCCTTACTTGGCTCGCTCACTGAACGCGATGGGGGCAGAGCCCGGGGAGACACCGAGAACTTTCTGAGGGGCCGAGTACAGGATGTCGATCTCTGCCGAGAAGGAGAGGAAGCTCCTCAGAGAGCCAGGCGCTCCCCGGTGGGAGTCGGACGTGCACAGAGCCCCTGGGGCCCGCGTCCGGCCCCGCCATGCGCGGAGTGCGGGGAGCGTGGCGGGGCACAGGGATGGGGTCTTGGTGGTGGCTATGGTGTTGGCTTTGAAGGACACCCGGGCAGCTCCAAGCATCCCCACACAGAGGTGACCACAAGGTGTCCGGCCACCGCCGGGAGTACAAGTGTCAACAGTGCGGATTGACAGGCGGCGAAGCTGACACCGCTTCATCAGCCCCGCTACAGCCCAGCCTGAAGCCCCGGTGTGGGGGTGCCCGGCAGCACCCACGGCTCTTACCCTGCTGGTCCATGAGGATGGGCGGCCCGCCGCGCCACGCC